TCAATTTGTTCCAAAATAAATAAAAAAAACAGGTTCTTTTTTGGCTCCAAATATATTGACCATGAATTCTTCATAAGTGGTTGAATGTCTTTTTGCAACGGTGCTTCTTTATTAATTGTGTTACGATTACCTCACAACAAATCATAAGTTATTTAGTGAATAATGATTTTTTTTTTTTTTGCAGGTTTTGACTTAATGTCAAAACTTTTAAGTTAGTAGTTTAGTTTCTAAATCTTACTAATAACACCTTATTGTTTTGTAACTCATTAAAAAAAAAGAAAAAGAAATTCATAGGCACCTACAGTCTACAAGATGCCTTCAACACAATGGCATGTCACCTAAGATAATAAGAGTTGCTAATTAACATCAAAATCAAACATAAAAACCATCACATTTTGTTAAAGATATAAATTAAGAGTATATTAATTATATTTTTCTTCAATAATTGTTAAAACAAATAAAAATTAATTTTAATTTTATCAATAGTCCATTTAAAATTGCTTATGTGTCATTAGTATTAAAAATTAAATTAAATTTTGTACTTTTTTATATAAGTTTTTTTAATTTATGATCTTAAAATATAAATTAAAGATATAATTAATATATTTTTTTTAAAAAAAGACGGTCATGGACCTTACTAATAAAAAAATAAAGTTTTTATAAAATAATCTCTACCTTTATGTCACATTTGCTATAACTAGTATCTTGATTTCTTAGATGCCTACATAAACATCTTTTAAATTTCTTAGATGCCACCTCTAATTGAGCCTTAAATTCTAGAATCACTCTCAAACTAGATCCCTCTCCACACAGAACTTCACATAAAATTCCAATTAATCCCAACTAAAAAACCAACTTCACTCCAATCTTCTACAGTGAACTGAGGCTTCGCTTTCTTTTTTTCTCAGTCTATGGTCACCTTCTTGGGCCATAAGCAAATGATTGTTTCATTGTATCAAAAGTCAAAAGATTTTACGTTGGGATCCACATTTAGTCAGCCTTCGATATTCTGTCGATTCGAAAGATTGGACCGCAGAAT